AAAACGATTAAATTAACAATTGACATGAAATAACCAAAATGCATTTCGGACTATCGGAATAGTCCCTCTTCAGTTGGTATACATATATAAAAAAGGTGAGATACTTAAAATTATACAAGACAAAGGAACTGTTATAAAGGTATGATCATTGAGTAATAAATGGGTGTAGAGGAGACAGGTTTAAGGTGGCTTCATTATGTTACATGATAGCTTGACATAAGGGTTACTATTATAAACAATATTAAAATTAGCGGAATAATAAGGTAATTGTTTTACAAAATAAGTTATATCTACATAACATAACAGTAGTAAGATGGAGTTTGAAGGTGGCATTGCTACAAGATGCAGAGCAGTTATGAAAGAGGTGTGTTACAGGCAACATCTGGAGAACAAGTGGTGACTAACATCTTAATGGCCAACCTTCATTACATCACTTCTTAACCAGATGTTAGTATTAAGACTATAGGTTTCTTCATTTAATGGATGAGGGTCTGTGCTCAAATATCGACTGGAATCTAGGTAATAATGTACACCCCTTCTCGTTTTATTAAATGTATTCCATTGATACCTGGGTGTTCGTGCTTATTATCACTGGTGTGATAGGTCCTTATTCCTACCTCACATTAGTAGGTTTTTAATTAATTTAATTAAACCAAGGGCAAAAAGCAATTTCTTTATATTGAAACAACTGTTATTAAATTACATTAGAGTATATTTATGTAGGCTAATTTTTTTGAACCAAAGGTCAGATCCATTACACAAGATGATATTTTTGGTCTACGGTTATTTTTATCTTATCAACAATTGGTTTTGGACTAAAACTCACTACAAGAGTCCAAATAAATAATTTAGTTAATTAAAAGTAATTTGTTTTTTGCAATCACAAGTGATCAAAATAATCACATATTTGCTTGAGACCTAATGCCTATTAAATTGTAACCTTTATGTTTCTATATTAAGTTATTAGTATTGATTAAAAGTCACACGAATTACATCTTTGCATGAAATTTGAAGATAAGCGTAAGACAAAAGCGTGTTGGCACATCATATTGCCGAAATCTTAAGATTACACACGAAAGTAGATCTTTTAGATAAGATTATTTTTGCTTTTCTAAATATAGATTAATTAGCTCTATCTTTTGAAATGTCTATTAATAAAAACAAAGATTTCTAAAAAGCAGGTTAAATGAATCTTAAACAGAAAAGTTTGTGTAAATTTCTATAATAGCAACTTTCCTCACAGATTTATTTTTTTAATTAATAAGATTTGATTTAAAAATGTGAAAATTAACAACAAATTGTGTTTATCAACAAGATTATAAAAGATAAATCATAATATTTATAAAGTTATGCAAAATATAATGGTTATAATATAAACGATTTACAAAAAATATGAAAACCTAGCCTAAAACACTAGAGAAATGTGAAATAATGGCTATATTGACAAAATTTAATAAGTAGTGTTGTTTTAAGAGAATCTTCAGTGAATAGACTATTATTGAATTCGATCCAAAACATCAAAATTTATTATTTTGTTTTAACGAAAAGTATATAACTTGATAAAATATTCTAGAATTATTACTAAAAAAATATACTTCAAATTGAGCGAAAGCATATATTATTTAAACTAGGTTGTTGAGCACTTGTATGGAGTACGGAGTGTAGAGCTGGCCCCTTTTGCCATTTTTCGTTGAACAAATGAAATATGTAAAATGTTTATTTATTAATAAAAAGTAGATTTTATTTTTTGTTGGTAAAAATAACATTAATATTATAGGGATGGGAACCGCTATGGACGTCTTAAGTTTTCTCCGGGCCCAAGAAAAATTGCCCCTTCTCGACGGCCCCGTTTATTTTATATTATCCTAAAATCATTATTTATAGATAACAAGTTATTATAAGTCTTCTGATTGATAAAATTATGATTTTATCAGTCAGTTCTCCGATAAAATCGGTAATTTTGTTGTAAAACTTTTAAATTCTCGCAGTTACAGCAATGTAATACTGTATTATCTACACCCAATTTTCTCAATTTTTGAGTTTGGGTGTGCACCATCTGTCAAAATTCATATGTTTAACTTGTGATGGAAAACGTTCTACATTATCAAATGAATTTTGTCAACTCTGTATTCGTGGCATAACAATTTTTGAGATTCAATTCATACATACACACACAGCCTACATTCAGAAAATCAATTATCGTTTTTTTCGCCTTATAAGACACACTTTTTTGTATTTAAAAATCTAGCTGACAATTACGATGCATGCTATAAGCCGAATGTATTTAATATATTATCTAAAGTACATTGCAAAATGCAATACACTATGCTAAAATATCAGAGTATAAGAAAAATTATCGCTTTTGCTCATTGTTAAACTTCTGTAAACATTTACCGATTTTACAGAACGACAAAAACAAAAACAACGCGATTAAAGAATTTTTCTAAGAAAGATTAGAATTCGAAGGTAGTTACCATGATACAGGGTGATTCACTCGAGCTGAACACTTACTTTGTTCAATACGTTTTGATTGCACAGTTATATTTGAATAGCATGTAAGTTGAAACATACTTGGTCTACTGCTACATCGTAAAATGAAGAATCATTCCGTAAGTGTTCATGCTTACCTTTTTGTTTTATACGAAGATATTCCACATAAGTATTCATTCCCGAGTAAATCACCCTGTACTTTACTTTACGTTCTACTAATAAAAAACGTTCGAGCTGGCAATCTGCAGACAGATCTAACAATATACAGAAATATCTTATCTATTTAACTAATACAATTAAGTTCATAAAACTTAAGATGTTCCTAAAATTATTGTTAAATGTTATTTTTAACTTTCATAAGTTCATAACAATAGTTATAGAAGACGAATATCAAGTTTAAATGAATAAAATTTGATTTTAACTGTAAGATTTTATAAAGGAATTACAATGTAGTAGGATGCTTTTTTTACCCTTCGTCTTGTAGTCGTCAAGACTGTCTTTATTTTATCCTCATTATGGGTTCAATCAGGCTCATAATGGAGCTTGGGATCTGATAAGATACCTAAAAATTCTGGAAAATCGGAGTTAAATTTGAATTTGGATTCTTCAGAGCATTACACAAATATCTTCAATTTTCTACCGAAGTTTAGATACTATATAAACTTAAAACTATTTTGTAAAGTTCTTTTACATATTAATATATTTTAATATTAGTAATAAGTAGGTAACCTAATAGTTCAATCAATATGAACTCGCTTATACAGTGGTACCTCAGGATACGAACGCCCCAGCATACGAAATTTTCAGGATACGACATGAAATTCGAACATATTTTTGCTCCACGATACGAACAAAAACTCACCATACGATGTTACATTAGTTCGCAGCGCCATTTTTTTATTCACTTCTGTTCATCAGTCTCAGTCCGCGTGTTTGCTTCGTCGTGGAAGTATCTCGCTCTATAAAGGAAATCTCGAGGTATTATCAGAAAGTGACTGATTTTATTGAAAAGAAACATCCCGGAAAGGTTCACACTGGCCGTATTGCTGGTCAGAGTAATGACATTTGCCTAAGTCATTTTAGAAACATTTTAAAAAGTAGGTAAAGCCAAACCTCTTTGGATAGATATTTTACCAAGCGACCTGTATCCAGTGGAAGTGCTGGTGGAAGTGAAGGAAAGAAAGCAAAAAGCAGTGAATAAAATATTAAAAAATATATATATATAAAACAAAAAAGATAAAAAAATTAGTGTTATATTATTTTTAAGTTATTGTTACATTATGTTATGTAAGTTAAGTTTTAGTATCATTTCCCTTCTCCCTCTCCTCCGCCACTAGTTTACACCTCCATCGTCGTCTATCCTCAAAGGTAAAGTGCAAATAAAACTACATTTTTTTATCATTTATTATTCTATTATGTTTATTTATATATTTAGCAACTACAAAACGCATTTTTCAGTGTTTTCCTTACTATACTTTTTTTTAATGTACTACTTAGCTTTAATTTGAGTGTGTTTTGGTGTTGGAACGAATTATTTGGTTTTACATGTAATCGTATGGGGAAAAATGATTCACCTTACGACATTTTCATGATACGACCTCAGTTTCGGAACTGATTAATTTCGTATCCTGAGGTACCACTGTAATTAAAATTTAAATGCTTTGTTGCCTTTAAAAAAACTTTAAACTGCTTTAAAAAAGTTAAAATAAATTTAAATTTGATAATCTTTTTGTGCAAAACAACACTAAAAGAATTTCTATAATTATGTTGCAAAAGAAAAAAAGCTTTGCAATTAATTAAAATGTATTTAATGGTTCAAAAAATGCAGGAAAAAATTAAATAAATAATAATAAATAAATAAAAATTATAATTATTAAAAATAATTATAATTTTTAATTATCTAGCATTATAATTATTAAAAATAATTATAATGCTAGATAAATTGAAACTAAAAATAATAAAATAATAAAACTCTGTCCTTTAAACCAAAACCGAAAACAAAAACAAAATTAAGTAATTAAAATCAAATCAATTGAAAATTAAAACAATGTTTTTAAAAACGGTTTAAAATTTTTGGAATTTTTTAAATTATAAATCAAATTAATTTTTAAATTTATATTAATTGTGTGCGGCGGAGATGAAGCATTTTACTTTTAATACAGCGTATGTATTAAAGTGTTTAGCTCTCTACTTTGCAAGCGAATAACTTTTATATTATTATTTAGGTTTATATTGTACTGCGTACACGTTTTAAATTATAATATATATACTTAGCATTACTATTAATATATTCTATTACTTACATTTCAAATAGCATTATCATTATTATTTTGTTGTAGTTTATATTTATGAGAAATGTCTGCGTTTTTCAAACGATTTATAAAAATCAAGTTGTATGTTAAATTTTTTTTAATATATAGGCTATATATATAAGGTCTATTCAATATTAATAAAATAAAGTAAATTCAATGCAAACGGTGGAAACATTACCTTATGTTTACATTTTTCAGGTTCAGTTCAGGTCGATATGTTCTCAAGTCCCAATTCAGCTAAAATGGATACATCACAATTTCATTCTTCTACAAAGCAACTAGAGATTCATTCTTCTAGAACTCAGCCAGAAAGTCCTTATATCCAATCTTCTGTTATGAATACAGTAAGCTTTCACATTAGTTCTTCTCACACTCAACCAGAAAGTCAATTTATTCAGTCTTCTCAAATTCAATTAAAAAGTAAGCAAATGATTTCGTCTCGGATAAAATCAGAAAATGAACAAGTTCGCTCTTCCCGAACATCCAGAGAGTTTCTTCAATTATACTCTACCCCTGTACTTATAGAATCGAAAAATCATTCTTCCCGAATGCCCGTACGTGTTTCTACGAAATATGTTCAACTTGTTTCTTCACAAATAACCGCAGATTCTCTTCAATTTCGTTCTTCTGGAATTCATTTAGAAACTCAACCTTTAATTTCTCCTACTCCTGCTTATGTATCTATCACAAAATCAAAAACTCCATATTTATCAAATGATCAGCATTCTTCGAACGTACCCATTGTAACGTTAAATTTGTCGTCTATGCAGTATTCAAATTTAGAAAAATCTTCTTATTTAAATACTCCGATATCTGAATCTAAAATAACGTATCAACAAATATCACCAACACCGACCATTGCTCGTAGTGAATTGCAATACTCTACTGATATCACATGGAGTCCTCCTTTAGATGTAACTTCTCCTATTAGAATTTCTGGTAAACAATCAAAAGACAAAGTTCCTTCTTTATATGATATTATTGGTGGAATTATTCATCTTTTTGATGGTGACGCCGAATCAAATGAAACACATGTTTCGAGGATTCCGCATGAAGAAAAATCGGTTTATCCATCTAGAAAAAATGATAGAGGACCGCCAAAAATATATCCATTAAATTCTGATAAATCAGTATCAATAAGTCCCAAAATTTATCCTACTGCTTCAATTCCTGATCATGTTATCACTCAATCGCCTTTTATTTCAACAATCGTTCCTTTGAAATCATCTATCGAGTTAGATTCCTTAGAACAAAATATTGAAACTGTAACAAAAACTTCTGTATTACCAGATTTAACGAGTAATAGTCTTTTAAATATGTTTAAAAGTCGCTCTGAAAATCCGTCCTTATCTACAAGTATCATTAAAATATCATCCTTTATTCATGACTCAGAAAAAATTTTAGGTATTGAAGATTCAGTATCAATTAAACAAATATCGAAAAGTATTGGCTTACAATCTGAAGTTCCTAGTGGCCCTGTTACGGATTGGGTGCCTTTAATAGATCGTCCTACAGTTAAAGCTAAGCCAGAATTTTCAGCGAATAATACTGGATTATCGATTATCACAGAACCTTCCGTTTTTGATATAACCATAGTAAATTCAATTGAACATTCAGATGTTACAAGAGATTTTCCTGTAGAACATTCCACGCGCTCTAATACAGATTCCATCTATGTGCCAAATGAAAACGTTGATCATACGTCTCCTATGCCAGATTACGAAGCACCTAATGAAGAAGCTGCGGAAATAGATGAAGTAATTGTAACTCTTTTAGGATCCGGAACTTTAAAATCTGAGAGTTCCACAGTTACATCATCATCATCATCATCATCATCATCATCTGTAGGACCTGCTACAGGTCGTCCTTATGTTATACCTGTGGATATAGAAGAAGTAAGACCTTTCATAGGTGCACAGATACCATCTCAGCCAACAAGTAAACCCAATGGTCATGTTCAGATTGCTGCTGCAGGAATAAATGTGGCAGATGAAAACAATGGAAATAATTCTCCTTCTCAAAAGCATCCTACTCTTTTAAGGCCAGGGAGACCTCGAGTCAATCCTCCAATAATCAGGTAAGTTTATATTATGTTTTGAATTTATTTTAAAGTAAATACGTAATTCTATAAATAATTTAAAAGTATGATCGTAATTTATTCTTTCCTGCAGACTTAGATAAATTTAGATTCGTAACAGGTATTTAAAGTCGGAATTTTATTCCTCATTCTTCGCCTATTAGATGGTTCCGAGTGTAATAATAATTTTGTCGTTGCGAGCAGGCAAGACCATTCATACTGTAATACACGAAATAAATTACGCCACCACAAAATAAGGACATTTGTGTGCTTGTGCTTCGTTTAACCAGCAGATCCAATTCGAAATTTTACTTTCTCAGCTGTAATATATATATGCTAACCTAACAAAAAATGATCCCTCTCCAAGATTTTTACAGTTTTAGACTCAGAGAACCTTTAAAAGTCGAGAAATGTAAAAAAAGAACTTCGGGATTTTTTCCTGTATGCATGGATGTTAGTATATGGGGAGCTTGATTTTTTTACCCATTTTAAGGCTTAATAACTCTCGTGCCTTTTCTCATACATTTCCGAAATTTTTCGAGGAGATTTATATATTAGAGGAAAATGTTTCTAGAAATTTTCAGGAAAATCGGACAATTAGTTCAAGAAATATTAAAGCGATTGAAGCTATATATCAAAAGCTTCCAAGTTATGAAATTTTTTTTACTCGCGCAAATTTTTAGTTTACGAAAAAATAAATGTATTTGTTTCTAATACTTTTTTAAAAAATTACTCTCACACTCAATATTAACGGATTTTATGTTTTTTGTATAACTTTTGATAGAATAAACCAATTGAGTTCTAACTTTTTTTCAATATATATATGTTAATAAAATAGTTTTAAGAAATTCGTATTTTCCCTGATGAAATTAATTTAAAAATTAATCTCATCAGTTTGTTTTGAAAGTACAGTCAGTACATGTAAGTAGACAGGGCTATTTGGGTCGTGCATGTCTTCTTATTTTTATTAAACTAATAACATTTAAAAAATAAATGAAATTATAAACAACAATGCATTAGGGATATTAATGAGCCAAATATTGTAATAAATAAATTTATTAAGCATAAAATACAATATATCAAGTATTTGCTAAGTAACAAAGGAATTATTTTAAAGCTACTTGTCACATATAAATTGTTTTTTCCAATAGCTCCCACACATTTCATGATACTATTGTTTATATTTCTAGCACAAATATGGGAACTACCACATTTCGTCAAGTGCATGTTCTATCTGACTCTCTCTACACGGACATTTTTGGTTACGCGCACTCAGAAGTACAGTACTTATGAATTACTTGGTCAAAGTTATAACACAGCTTAAATTGAAAGGAAGAATCTCACAAGGCATATAAACAGCTTTGGAAATAAAACAAAATGAACTGGTTTCCACAAATACTGCTCACTCCCAACCTTCCCGGTGTTCATATCAGTGGACATTTTTCTTAAATCTGAACTGTGACATGTATTATTCTGTTCATTAATTAAAATTTTTAATATAAAATTATTTACTTTAAAAATTTATTATCATTTTACTATGACGTATGTAGCCTATATCAGTTTATACTCAAATTCTTATAAATATGCTCCACTGAGGACTTCATTTTTGCAAAAGTGAGAGATTTTCAATCCCTGCACCTTGCACTCTTGACAAAGATCTGGAACCCCATATAAAACATTTTCGAGGTGTTATGGATATAGATTTTATTTTCGTAGACGATAAGGCTCGTCAATGACTTTCTTGACAGTGAAAATATTTGTCGAGTGGAATGACCAGTAGGATCATCACACATAATCTATGGAATTTCAGTACGGAGATCCTCTCCGTACTTAAATTCCATAGATTATGTGTGAAATGCTCTAGAGTCTAGAGCAGTGGTCGCAAACTGGCGGCCCGCGGGCCGGATACAGCCCGTTAAGTCTTCATATCTGGTCCGCGTCCTTTATGATTTCTTTTCTAAAAATCAATGTTTATAACATCTTATGGGATTAAAGCATAAAAAGATTCAAATATCCAGGCCTGTCGTAAAGGCCTTTGTTAGAGTTTTTTTAATTTACATTATGTTTTGATTTGCCGAATAATATTGAATTCGTCTCGCGTCTGATATACATGTATTTGACTGGCCCTTTGTGGCGTTTGAGTTTGAGATCCCTGCTCTAGGGAGACGATTGCATCTCGCCAGCTTCTACTAATAACACGCCAGGAGCTTAATATGCTCTTGTTCAAGAATGGACTTTGCTCACGACAGAACTGCTCAGCATGTGTTCATGTAGGAAGCAACTATACGCCAAATTAATCATTTTCTGTACAAAAAGAGTTATGACGATGCTTAGGACTTGTTCTTGTCCTTGTTGATTTGATTCAGCCTATTTTTGTTTATATTAAACCCTAAATCTGTCTTATCTTTCTTTAAAATATAATCCGTGTTCGATATAAGCTTTTATTCTGTTAATGTATTTAACAGTAATGAATAACCATATGAACGTGCTAACCTTATTGTTTTAATTATCAAACTTATCACACATCTATCCTATTTCTTTAACGCTTAATATTCCAGAATGCTTTCGGCTTTGTTAATAACCCTCTTCAACCGGGTTACATACACACATTTCGATAATATAATTTAAATTATGATGAGTCTGACAATTATAACAATAAGGCCAGCAGTCTCATATGGTTATTCAATACTGTTTAATCTAAAAGAGTATCTTCCCTCATTTTATCATCTATACGTTGATTATCTCTGTGTAACTACTACCGATTCAACTTTTAATGTTAACCTAGTTCATTCACTTAAGTATTCTCATCTTGGCTATCCTGTTTTTCCTAATCTGTCCTTTCTTTACTCTAATATATGCTGTAGATCATATCTCATTAATGGCTTAATTATCTTATAAAATTTTATTTTTATTCTAACTGAAATTTGTTATCGCAAAAAAAACCACTAGCCTCCATTTTTGCATCTTATTTTTCACATTAAAGTTTTCTTCTAAACTAATAAAGTTATATATATATATACTTAATAAATCATAGGCATCATAAGCATGGGCGCTAATTCTAAGGAAATGGAAACTTCCTCTTCAACTTCGGTCTTCTCAAACCTTCTTGAGAATCTTTAGAGTGTAGATTGGATCTGTCTTCACCCTTCATTTGATTCTCAGATCTCATCCGTACCTGGGCGTCTTTCCCAGAGGAATATAATCTCTTTTTCTATCTTCAGCAGGCTTACCAAGTACGTATCTGAGAATCTTGTGCTATCAGCTCCGAGCTCTACTCTCCACTTTTGTTTTCCAACCCTTTCTCCAATTTCAATTTTCTTGGTGGAAAACCAGTCAGAAAGCTCTTGGTCACTGGGAGAAGCGTACTTTTACGTTCGCTTGGCCTTAGTGCGGGTGGTCATCCTTCTACTTGTTTACTTGTTTGATGTTTTTCTACAGCTGGATGTATGACTAGGTCAAACACTCGAGTCAAATCTAACAAAACCACATGTCTCGTTTTCCTCTCTACTCCGGAAACTATACTTTACAAAGAGCTTGTGCTTATGAATATAATATCTACTCTAATTTTTGTCCTTCAACGTTGCGGGGCGGCACCCCTTAAGGCATTATTGGAAGCCGAACTAGCTCCGGCCACTAAGAGTTGGGGCCCAAGATCATAAATAAGGAGGACTTTTAGACAGTTTGACATATATAAAAAGAGAAATATATAATCATCGCATTTTTGAAATATAATTAATAGTTATATACATTTATCAATAAGAATGATATTCTTTCAATGACTTCGTCAATATTTATCAGATTTTGTTTTAAAATTATTAAATTGCTAAAGAAATTCTGTAGAGTATTTGCTGTTTAATTGTATATTTACATTTGTACTAATTTCCCAGAAAAAAATCGTTGCTTTTTGCAGCATTTTGTTCTAGAAATGATAAGTTTTCGTTAAATATAATTTTTTCTACTAGTTTCTCCGTGATTCATCTCAAGTTTAAACTATTAACTCAATGAAATACTCGTAGTTGTTATTCCAGTTATCTCTAATTCCGAATAGAATAATTATATTAAAGTCTAAGTTAATAAGAATACTAGCCATAATATATCATATCATATCTTTATTAAATATCAATAATAATAATAAATGTCATTTTGTTGTAGACTTTAAAGTAAAAAATAATTTATTTGGCTAATTGACAATTCATTTAGAAATTAAATTTGTATAGCGTATAAAGCTTCAAATTATTTTATAGTTTAAAAATATTATTATATTATAATATAGCAAAATATCTAAAAGAAATATTTTAAGATTGTTTTAAATTAAGAATTATACTGAAGTAATATTAAGTTAAAAACATAAATTATTTTTTTATTCTGAATTGCCAAGCAGTTATACAATGTCATTACCCTCGGTTGAATCTTATATCCAGTTGTATGAACTCTGCGCCCTAAAGATGACTCATCTTTTCATTGATGTCAGTTGTTAGACAGTTTATTAGTCAACAAAATGATCCTATTCATTAGAGGCATAATTTAGACACTGACAATTTAGAAATGTCAATGATATACGTAAGCGTGACAAGCATAGAAGAATGCAAAACATATATTTAACATTAGTAAAATGTTTAATTAAATTTTACAAATCATTATTTTATTTGATAGAATTATCAGAAGTTATTTTAAATGTAAATAAATTTCCTTAAAACTAATTCAGTTATGAAAATAGGCTTATACTTTTGTTAAAAGAATATAGAATTGAATTTTCTCCTTTTAAATTCTTACATTACTCAAATTTTTAGGCGTGATTTTTATTCTAAAAATTGGTTTATTATTACTTTTATTGTGAATTTTATGTATTGATATAATAAATGACCTTAAATTGTAAGTTTAAATTAATATAAAGAACTTTTTTCTTATTTTTAAATACAGTAACCCTTCGTTATAAACGCGCTTGTCGGGAGACAAAGGGAAGTCGCGATATAAGCGTGTACTAAAAATTCTGGACTTTTACTAAACAGATTATACATGCTATGGAATCTAATGAAACTCGTAAATGAGGAGACGGTAGTTAAAACCAATAAATAAACAATTTTTAATATCAAAAGGAAACCTAAATGATAATTGATCTGTCCACCTATTTTGCTTATTTACATCTTATTATGTTAAATGTATTGTTTCGTCTGCAGTGGTAGTTTCAAGGACAATGGTAAGAATAAAATACGGTATTTCGTTGCAAAAAGAAATTCAATGGCAATTGGTAATTTAAAATGTATTGATTCAAGTGCTATAAAAATTTGGGGACCAAAAAAAACGCGATATAACGAGGGGCTACTGTATTTAATACATTATAATGTGATTGTAGTGGGTGTGATTTCTGTTCAAGAATCATCAGTAACAGACCGAAGATTATTTTCTCGAAAATTTCAGTCGTTTCCTATTGACCAAAACGATTCCTAACCAGTAAATTGACTTACGGATGATAAAAGAATGAGTCATCTTTAGTGATGCAGAGTGCATACAAGATTCATTCTGCACTGATGGTGTATTTAACTCTGTAATTCAGAAACGTATACTTAAATTTTATATTAACGAAAATTTCATTACTTTATAAATTAAATATTGTGTGATACTATTTTATTAACTAATTAGATTAAACAATGAAGCCGTTTTAGATTGCAGAATTTGCACGTTTTTTGTAATGGATTTTGTAATCATTTAAAACTTAAATCTTATGAAAACTTTAGATATAAGTCAGATAAGTGTAGTGTCAAGACTTGTTTGAAACTACACTTATCTGAGTTATCTGTTAACTTACTGTATTAATGATCGAGTGGAAAAATCATTGAACACTTGTCATGGGTTCGCGCCTTACCAATTGGGATTTTCCGAATTTTCTTCGTGTTTAAAAGTTTTATTTGGATATTTACTAAATATATATTTTGAATTGTATAAATTAAATGTAACATTTAATATCCTATATAAAATTTACTTCATGTATTTCAGAAAATATATGTGTGTGTGTATTTTCTTATTTCGAAGATTTCATTAAATTAAATATATGGAGTTTTAACTGTGGTGGTTTATTGTAAAAATGCAGCAACTGCAATAATGGATGATGGGCTAGTGATTTCGGGTGAATGTCCTAAGGCACGTGTAACACAACTGGTCTTTATGATAAAAGGATCGTTTCAGAATTCTTTCTGTCTTTAGCAGATATTTTGGAGCGTGAAAGTCATGAAATATTTTATTGTTCATATATGGTCGCCCCAGAAAATCTCGGTTGATTCACATAGTCCACAGGAAATTACTATTATTATTATTATTTAGAGAGGCTTATAAGAACTAAACTTGATTAAATGGAAAAAATTGTTATTATCAAGAAGCAATTTTGCGTAACAAAAAATCCTTTTTTTGATAGTTTGGGATATGAAGTAACTACTCGTTTGTTGAACTGGAAAAGCATAAAAACTATAATTCTACGATAGTTTTATTCTCCTTTTTTTGTTTAATCATTATTTATCTTGCAGTATGATTTTCAGTGAGAATTTGAGAAAGCAAAATTTTTAGTTCACATAGAGAAAGTGACATTTGAATATAATTTTTTTTAGTTTTTATAGGGGAAGGTGGGGCAAGATGAGAACGTTAAGGTTTGAAAAGTCATAAGATGACAACCATTTTGATGAGAACGATAATTTTTTTTTATTCTCAGCAACTACAACATTTGGTAATATATAATACAAAATTTAATTTTTTAGAAACAAGAAAATTTAATATTTTAAAATTACGTGTAAGTGCACCATCTTGCCCCACCCATGGGGTAAAATGGGGATATTATCACAGGTCAACTATATTTTAAAACTAATTAGTCTTAAAGGTTACTTTGAATACCATAATATCTTCATCTAAAAGGTAGTGTAAACGTTTACAATGATATTTTGTAAAAACTGTAGTAGGCGTAAAATTCGATGAAGTATTGCTAAAATATGGAAAACGTTCTTCCAAACAACGTGCTATTCGGACGTTTTTTCGTCCCATGAACTCTTTTGAGGTTGACATTTAGTTTCCCAAATAACAGCTAGATGAAAACACGTTAACCACGAATAAACAGACATCCCCGTCTTATTCCTTGGCCCCATCTTGCGTCACTTTCCCCTAATATTGAAATTAACTTTAATTAGAAACGGCGTAGTATTAAATTATAGATATTATATTCTAAACACTTTAAAACTGTCAAAATTTAAAAAATTACTATGAAAACCACTTATATAAAACATTTCTTTCTTTTTCTCTTATTTTGTGCGAAGCAATTGCAAAAATTTTTAAAAAGTCATACACCAGGAGAGTATGTAATGAGGACAGGAAATTCTGCAATGCTCCTTTTTTAATACATGATTTTTAAATTTAATTTTAATCACTTTTATCCAAATAACTATTTTTCTCAAACTATGATCTTTGAATACCTAATAGATGTTGCTATATCAAGTAGATAACTAAAAAAGAATTGTGCAATAATTAATTTGAGCAATGATATAAGAAAAAGTCGCAAAATATTTCTCAGAACACTTTTAAAATATTCTGGATACACGTCTGTAAAACAAGTATTGTAGGTTATTTATTATGAATTGAAATCTATTTATGTTATTGTTTATTTGTTTCAGAATCGACACGTGCATTGTTGGTGATGATACAACTTGTGATGGTAGTTTGAATGAATATTGTAAAGCAGAACAAGGAATCAGTTCGTGTCAATGTCGACCCGGTTACGCAAGAACATTTCCTAGAGGGCCTTGTCAAGGTAAAAGGTTAATTGTTTTGCTGCATGATATAACTTTGAATGTGATAAGAATACAGAATTTCATAACTTGGTTAAAGAAAGGTTAAATATATACTGTATATGTATATGTATATATTGTTTCGACGTCTTATAGTAGCTTATTATTTTCATATGACGAAATTATTTAAAATATTATTTAAAAAATATATGTTATATCTGTCATATTTTTAAAATTTAGCTAAATACAAAAGTAATTTTTATTTTCAATTTTTAATAGGTGTTGTTTCTGTTTTGGTATCAATCAGAATTGACCGAATCGGTGATCAAAAAATAATTTTTAATCGAAATTACTTAGATCCTAACAATCAAATATATCAGCAAATGGAATATGAAGCTAGACAAGCTGTAAGTTGACAAAACTAGTTTTTTTTAATAGTTTAAAAATAATGGTTGAGAATAATGTTCGATAATTTATTGAAAATATGAATATTGTACTTGAAAAGCAATTTTCTTATGCATAAAGCAGAAATAATTTCCAAATTTTCTTTTCAGATCAATTCTTTATTCTCTTATACATCGTTTGCTCGTTCTTTTATGGGAACCAAAATTAATAAATTTTATTCATTAGGAAGCAAACTGATTGTCAATAGCACAATACTATTTGACGAAACAGCCAAATCGTCTATTCTGAGACAAAAAATCAGACAAGAAATGGTTAAAGTTATATCAAGTAGAAATCAAAATATTGGTGAGAGTCAATTATATGTGGATGGTCCATTAAACCCTGTACCTGCCATAGAAGGTTTGTTCGAATCTTTATCGTTTAAAACTCTGAGTTCTAAAAATTAAAATTATAATTTATATTTTTAAAATGAAGATGAAGTAATGTGTATAGAATTAAAAGGAAATAAATATTCTATAAAAAGTTTTGAAAGAAAAACTACTTGTTACAGAGAATGTGAGAAATACTAAAATTACTATCAATGCTGGAATTTAGTTCACATAAATAAAAATGTGCTTAATATAAAATAAGATTAAATGCACTATAAAACTAATGATTAATTTTTCAGGAGGAAGATTAATTGCATTTGTAAAAATAAAAAATAAAAACGTGTTATTAAAGGAAATCATAGAATAAATATATGTAAATCTCCTATGTAAATAAGTTATGTTCAAAATATTCTATGTAAATTATAATAAGGAGAGATAATTTTGGAAAATAATAATAGCACATTTTTGTAAAAAATTAAACAAGTCAAATTTTTAAAATAAATCTATTTTAATAACCTTTAAATTTTCATTACTATTAATAAATATCTTAATTGTTTTAATTATAACAGACCTATAATATTTTACTTATTAAATTAGGG